TGTATACAGACTAGCGTAGTCTAGTTATTTTAAATTTTGAATTTGTACTCATGCTAGCAACCGACTAGGGTTGTGTGTACTTGAATTGTAAACCCGTTAATGTATTTGGGCATGTATGAACCTTGTAGTTGGATCTGAGTACTGTTGTATATATTAAGCTGAAGGGATTGTATTCTTTATTTTTCTACATTTGTAAGTTATTTTCTCGAGCTTTACGTGAGTGAGTCCTGGCGAGAGTTGGGCAGGCGACTCACTAAACCCTAGGGTATGCCCTAAGGAGAGGTGGGGTTATCACAGGTGGTATCAGAGCCTAGGTTTGAATTGATCTGGGTAGATTGAGTGATTTATACTTGTTATTCCTTGGTTATAGGATGGATATGATAGGCTAGGGTTTCACACTTGAGAATAGGCCTTTAGCCTCGATTTATATGTCTAACTTGCTCTTCTTGCAATGTTACTTGTAATGTAGGTGATAGAGGGTAAAGATGCTGCTGGGGATGCCGGGCCATCTCAGCCCGTACCTGCCGACGAGGTACACCTTGAGGGGCCTGTATGTCGTGTACTGACCTACCAGGAGAGTCCCGGTGGGCCCGTGTGTCTGTGGTCTCCGACGCGCAAGGTTCGGCGTTGCGACTGCTGGAAGACCTACTCCTACCTCGATCGGGTTGTCCTTGCAGTTCATGATGAGCGGAGACGATTGGGTAGCGCCAATCGTAAGTGCCAAACGAAGATATAGCGTCTCCAGGCAGCTCTCCGAGTATACAGTGCCAAGATCCGAGAGCTTGAGGCTTCGGTTCTAAAAGAGCAGGAGCAGACTAATGCCTTCAGAGAGCAGGCTCAGGCGGCTACTAATCGCCTTGTTCGGGTAGTTGGAGATGTGAGAGATCGGACCGACCATATTTTGACCGAGTGTGGGGCTCTAGTAGATGATGTGGTTCAGGACTTGGCTGCGGAAGGTCAAGGGCAGGCGGTCCCTGGTGCTTCTGAGGAGGAACCGAAGGAGGACCCGAGGAGGATCCTGAAAAGGATCCGGAGGAGGAGCCGATTGCACCTGCTGAGTCGGTTGGGTTGGCATCTAGTTAGACCTCTAGTTTAGGGTTTGAGGGATTTTTGTGAGGTAGTTAGGGACATAGTGGGATGACACGTCCCCTTTTGTTTTTGAATGTGACGTGTTAAGGTGGATGTAATTAGGGTTTGTTTTGTTCTATGTCCCTTGGCTGGTATACGCCTTTGACTGGACAAGGTTGGCATGTATAGTACTTTCTAACCTGTTATGCGACTTGTTTTGCTATGAATATAAAAGAAATGTTTATTATGTGTTTTATTGCCTCCGTTTTATAATTTGAAAATGTTTTAGTTAAGTCATACCTTATTTTGTTTATATTGATTTAGTTGACTAGTCAAGAATCATGGAAGGTAGAAAAAGCCAGGATCAGGGAGCTACTCGAGGGCGTGGCTCTAATCGTGGGCGTGGGGCTAGACTGTGATACCCTGAATATTAGGAGGTTGTTTGTAAAGAAAATACTAAAGTTTATTTCTTTGGGTTTGATTTAAAACCTTATTTTGTTTTAAAAGATTAGAAACCCTAAAATTTTAATCAAAAATCCTAGTTTACTTGTGACTAACCGGTTTTCTTAAATCTCTTATATTTTAATCGAAACCCAAATTGTAACCAATGGAATTGTAAAATTCCTCACATTTTACTTAAAAATCCCCTTTTATTTGGAAATTATTACTTTATAATAGCCCTACTACTCAATCACCCCACAATAAATGCAAATGAACCTAGAAAGTAGGGTTTCACTTTTCATTTTTTAAGTTAGCGTGAATTAGGGTTTTACGCCTATCCGTAGTGTGACTATCCGGTGCGAAGTGTGGATCAAATTTGGTGATTAAAAGTGAGTTTAGATGATATTAAGTGTGGGATTAGAGGTGATAATAATAAGTAAGTGAATTATAAGTTAAAACCCTAGTATACGCGATTTAAGGAAAATCGGCTCGAATCGACGGGTATCGTTCACTACTGATGGATTACACCACTTGACCACCACTTTATTACCTTAATTCCCTTATTTTTACTTGACTAATTAGCCCTAAATTACCCCTTAATCCAGCCATCTTTGTTGACTAAAGAAAAGGAAGAAAAGAAAAAAATTGAGATTGAATCCTACGGCGACACTTGGCGGTGATCCACTTAACTTTGGCCCAAGCTTATTAATATCTTCTTAACCTTCTTGAAGCTTCATTTTAGCTTCCATTTCTGCACATTAGAACCGTGACTTAGAGAAGGAGAAGAGTGAAGAGAGCTTTCCAATTTCCAACCTTGAATCCAACATTTTGAGTGAAATCAAGAAAAATTAAACCGATTAATCACTAGTTTGGGAGTTTAGGAAGCTTGGAAGCCAAACTTTGCAAGGAGTGGTGGAGGATTTCCTTTGTAAGCTTGTTCTTGAGGTATATTGGCTGTCCCTTATCTTTAGTTCTTTTATTTTTTAGCTTAAGTTGCTATACAACTCATGTTTTGATTAAATTGGTAGCTATACAAGAAGTTGTGATGATTTTGGGTACATTAGTAAGGTAGGATTTTGGATTGTTCAGCCCTATTTCTTATTGTATGGATGGCTTATGATGTATGTAAGCTTGTATAAGAGGTTGTGGTAGTGATTTAAGCAAGAAATGAAGAGATTTCCCTTTTAAACCCCAAATTCCAGATTTCAGGAAATCTTGTTTTCAGTTCTACCCGTTTCTGTTTGCCTATGATAGAGGCTGAATTAGACTTAGCATAAAACATAAACATTGTATAGAATGATGTTTTATAGTTTCCTGCAAAATTTCAGCTCAATCGGAGCAACGTAGCATGTGAAAAGACCGAAATACCCTGACTGCCCTAGGTGAATCCAGTGAACAATTTGGGATATTTCACTAATCTGGTCGTGCTTTTTCCCCATGATATGTACTGAACTAGTATTTATCCAGAACATGAAAGTTGTAGTAATATGTCTTAGCTTTCCAACGCCAATAAAAACACCTTAATCGGATCTCGGTAGCCTGAGTTATTGTCGATTAACCATAGTGCGGTTAGCTACCCTATTTGTGAGATTCTGGTTCTGTAAATTGGGAATATGACTAGGATACACTAGAAACTAGACTAAGTGGTCTTCATCAAAATTGTATCTCTCTGTCTGAGCTTCAAAATGGTATAAGTTGCACCTCAATCTGATAAGCGTAGCCTCGGTTGTGTCCGTTACCCAAAACAACGTCAAATCTGTCTTTTATTTTTTGACGCAAACTTCATTTCCGCACATGTTCCTAACTTGGTTTGGTACTTGTATGACTTTGAGCCTATTGAATGGCTATGAAAATGAGATGATTTTGTGTATAAATTTGGGTCTGACTGAGGAAAACTTGAAGCCATAAATGGCTGGAAATAGATAAATACAAAGAGCGTGCTGCCCAAATTTACGCTCGAGGGCTAAACAACTATACTTGCGACTCGAGTAAGGCTTGAGAGTGAATATCACGTGAACCATCTAGGATATTTACGTCTTCTTTTATTGAGATATATAAGTGAGAACTTAGCCGAAACTTGTACCCTTGGAAAAATGAACTTAACGACTAATAGAAATACGTTTTCTTTGTCATTTCGACTCAAATGGAGATTTTAAAGTTTTACGAGTGAGTATAAGTTTTACAAATATTTTACTTATGTCTTTTGGTTTAAATATACTCTTTTACTACCAAAACTATATTTATTCTTTGTACTAGTACGTATTCGAATTTTCTTTGAATCACTTAAATCTTTGATAGTTGAAGCATAATGTGTTCTTTTGATTATATTAGAGTTCATCGGTGACTGACGGTATTATCCGGTAGGATATTTTGGATATTATTTTGCCTAAATAGGTGAGTGTTCTTTGTTTGTTATGTTTCCATGAACTATATGTTTTGTTGTGGATATTTGATTAAATAATAAATGTTTGTTACAAATGAATTTTGCTAGGCTAGTGTGTACTTTATCGCACTCGACCTAAATGAAATGTGAAATTTTCAATGTTTAAGTGATTAAATGTTAGTTGTGCATAAATGTAAGCCTCTTGGCTGAACTGGGCATTGCCCTTCGTTACTGATCGACTCGAGACAGAAGCGGACTCGGTCGGGTGATTTAGTGACCCTGGGTGAACGTTTGGTATACTCGAATATTATCTTGCAGTCTGGTGGAACCTAGCCAACGTCCAGGAGGGGGTGAATGAAATGAATGAACGAATGTCAATGCAAATGAGGGGTTTTACTTACAAAAATGCATTTTCAAATGATTGGAGGAATAAGGGAATGAAAGGAGAATGAATGAACGAATGAATGAATGGCTCCCTGTGAGCACGTATCCTTTTAATGAATGTGTTATTATCGCTTTCCATTGTAAATGTTTCTTGATTTATTGGTTGTTTAAGGTTAATGCATTGAACTTATTGTTTGATTATGTGTTCGGAACCTCACTGAGCTTTTAACTCATCCCTTTAATTGTGTTTTCCTTAACAGGGGAAGGCGAGTAAGGACAAGAGCTCGATATAGACTAACCTAGATTTGTTTCAAATTTTCGTAATGGTTCTCGCCCTAGTGCTTAGCACGGGCTGGATGTATGACGAATTGAGAACCTTTGTTTATTTGAGTTTGTACCCCCTTTTGAGATAGAAATGTATATAAGTTTTGCGTTAAGTTTCGGATTATCATTATGCTTGTTCCTGTGGTTTTATTTGAGGTATAATAGAGTCCCGGCGAGAGTTGGGCAGGCGACCGCCAAACCCTTTGGTTCGCCTTAGGGGGAGGTGGGGCCGTCACATAGACAGGCCCAAGAACCATTGCAAGAACCGAGAGGGGAAAGAAGTGGAACAGCGGAGCCGCAACCTGGACCCCGAGCGGAAGGGGGAGATCAGGTGGTGACGGGAATTCAGCAAATGACTAATATCCTTGCTCGGTTGGTAGAGAAATAGGGTCAAGCCCCTATGAACCAACCTAGAGATCCCGATATAGGGCAAGATAGGGCCCTAGAGATATTTCAAAAGTTCTCTCCTCTTAAGTTTCTGGAAGGACCAGACCCTGAGGGAGCGGAGAGATGGTTAGAGACCATGATCAATATATTCGCCGCTTTAAACTATGCAGAGGATAGGCAAGTGCAATTTACTGCTTTTTAGTTTGAAGATTCGGCCAGGGCTTGGTGGAATGTAGTTAAAGCTAAGTGGGAGAGAAAGGGAACTGCATGGACCTGGTTGAACTTCATAGGGGAGTTTAACGAAAAATATCCCTCACTTATCAACCAGGAGAAGAGAGAGGATGATTTTATTAAGCTCCGGCAGGGAACTTTGAGTGTATCTGAGGATGAGACCCAATTTACGAAGTTATCCAAATTTGCCCCTGAATTGATAGCTACGGAGCCAAGGAAGGTAAGGAGGTTTGTTCAAGGGTTCAATGTGGAAATACAGGAGGCCTTAACAGTAGCCCAGATTAATACTTTTACTGAGGTTTTGGAGAAGGCCCAGAGGATAGTGATTGTCAGGGCACAAGTGAGGAAGTTTCACGTGAAACGAAAAGGGGCACCCGGTGGAAGTCAAAGGCCGGCACAAAGTGATCGAAGTGTGCCACCCTCTAAAGCCGGTCGTGAGGCTGGGGGTAGAAGGTTTACGGGTATTTCGAGGGAAGGTACGCCGAGGGAAGGCCAAGGTGGAAGAGGATAGGGGGGAGGTGGTCCATAAGGGGGCCAGACCTCTATTCCCTGAGTAACATGTGGATATTGTGAAAAATCAAACCATACTGAGGATAATTGCTGGAAAAAGGCCCGGAAGTGCCTAAGGTGTGGAAGCATGGAGTACCAGATTGCTAATTGCCCGCTAATCAGTGATGGTCAATCGGCTGGCAAATCAAACCCGAAACCGACCAATGTAGGAGGGACCAAGTCAAGGGTATCAGCCAGGGTATATTCGTTGGACCACCAATCGGTACCTGAGCCAACAGAGGTAGTGGAAGGTACAATTCTTGTTTTCCACCATTTAGCCAAAATTTTGATAGACCCTGGTGTCACTCATTCTTTTGTTAGCCTTGCATTTATACTTGGAATTGACATGAAAGTTGAAAGGCTACCTTATGACTTAGAAGTAAGAACACCTACGGGTAACCAAACTTTACTTGTGAATGAGGTGTATAGAAATTGCGATATTTGGATTGGTGAGCGGAAATTAGTAGTCAACCTCATAAGTCTAGCCATTAAGGGGTACGATGTTATTCTAGGCATGGATTGGCTAGCTCATTACCATGCTCGGGTAGATTGTAGGATGAAGGTTGTCGAGTTTTGCATACCGAATGAGGCAACTCTAAAACTAGACGTGAGGGGTATGTTAGTCTCATCTGCACTCATTTCAGGAATAAGGGCTAGGAAATTGCTTAGTCATGAGGCACGCGGTTATTTAGCCTTTCTAGTTAACACCCCAGGAGAAAAGATTAAATTAGAGGACATGCCGGTGATTAGTGAGTATCCGGATGTATTTCCGGAGGAGTTGGGATCATTACCACCCGAAAGAAAAATTGAATTTAAGGTTGACCTAACACCCGGAACTACTCCCATTTCAAAAATCCCTTATCGAATGGCACCCGCCGAACTTAAGGAGTTAAAAGTTCAGTTGCAAGACTTGCTAGAATGGGAATTCATACATGAGAGCGAGTCACCATGGGAAGCTCCAATGCTATTTGTTAAAAAGAATGACGGGAGTTTAAGATTATGCATTGATTATTGCGGTTTGAATGCAGTAACCGTTAAGAATAAATATCCTTTACCCCACATCGATGAATTGTTTGATCAATTACAAGGGGTGGTGGTGTTCTCTAAGTTGGATCTTCGGCAAGGGTATTATCAATTGAGAATTAGAAAGGAGGATGTGCCAAAAATGACCTTTAACACTCGTTATGGGCATTTCGAGTTTGCAGTAATGCCTTTTGGCTTAACTAATGCCCCAGCGGCGTTCATGGATTTAATGCATCGAGTGTTTAAACCCTACTTGGATAAGTTTGTGGTGGTATTTATTGATGATATCCTAGTATATTCAAAGACAAGGGAGGAGCATGAGCAACATTTGAGGATAGTATTACAAACCTTACGAGAGCACCAGTTATTTGCTAAATTTAGCAAGTCTGAATTTTGGTTAGAGAAAGTGGCGTTCCTAGGCCATATAATTTCAAAAGATGGACTTATTGTGGATCCGATCAAAGTGGAAGTTGTAGCCAAATGGAAGCAGCCAGAGAATCCTACTGAAGTACGAAGTTTTTTGGGTCTAGCGGGGTATTACCGCCGATTTATAAAGAATTTTTCGAAAATTGCGGGACCCCTAACGAACTTAACAAAGAAACAAGGAAAGTATGTTTGGGATGCTAAGTGCGAGAGTGGTTTCCAGGAACTTAAGAAGCAATTGATCGTGACTCCAGTGTTAGCTTTACCCAATGGGAAGGATAGCTATACGGTTTATATCGATGCTTCGAGAGAGAGGTTAGGGTGTGTTTTGATACAAGATAGGAATGTGATTGCCTACGCATCTCGGAAGTTAAAGCCTCATGAGCAAAACTATCCAACCCATGACTTGGAGCTTGCAGCTGTTGTGTTTGCTTTGAAGAAATGACGGCATTATTTATACGGGGTGACATTTGAGGTATACACGGATCATAAGAGCCTTAAGTACCTATTTTCCCAGAAGGAGCTAAATCTAAGACAACGTCGGTGGGTGGAGTTCTTAGAAGACTATGATTGTACGATTAACTACCATCGAGGAAAGGCCAACGTTGTAGCAGATGCTTTAAGTCGAAAGGCTCAATTAGCAAGTTCCATAGTGAGAGAGTGAAACTTGTTAGAGAATGTATGTGAATGGAACCCGCATCTGGAGCCACAGAAAGTTATTTTTTGAAATATTGAGGTGAAATCGACACTGTTGGATCGGATTAAAGTGGGCCAAATGAAAGAACCGACGGTGCAGGAGTAGGTAGAAGGAGTGAAGAAAAGGGAATTGTCTAACTTTAACTTAGGTCCTGATAGGATTTTAAGGTTTCGAAATCGCATCGTTGTACCTAAGGATGACGAATTGAAGGAAATTTTGGAAGAATCTCACCGTTCTAGGTATAGGTGCATCCAGGTAGTGGTAAAATGTACCAGGATCTCAAAAGTCTGTATTGGTGGGATAATCTGAAGGCGGAGATTGTCCAATTTGTACAAAAGTGCCTTACGTGCCAACTAGTGAAGGTCGAACATCAAAAACCGTCGGGTCTGTTACAGTCTTTAGAGATCCCTGAATGGAAGTGGGACCACATAACGATGAATTTTGTATCAGGGTTACCACGAACTCAAAAAGAGCATGATGCAGTTTGGGTGATAGTGGACCGATTAACTAAGACCGCACATTTCCTGCCAGTTAATATGAAATATTCTTTGGAGAAATTGGTCAAACTCTATATGGATGAAGTAGTGAGATTACATGGGGTACTAGTGAGTATCGTGTCCGATAGAGACCCCAGATTTGTATCTCGATTTTGGCAAAAATTGCAAGAGGCTTTAGGAACTAAGTTGAACTATAGTACAACGTATCATTCTCAAATCGATGGACAATCTGAGAGAACCGTTCAAACTCTTGAAGATATGCTGAGAGCCTTTATTGTAGATTTTGGAGAGAGTTAGAGCCAATATTTAACCTTGGTTGAGTTTGCGTATAACAATAGCTATCACTCTTCTATACAAATGGCCCCATATGAAGCATTGTACGGATAAAAATGCCGATCATCAATCCATTGGGATGAAGTAGTAGAGATGAAGATTATAGATCCGGCTACAATACCATGGGTTGAGAAAGCCTACGAAAGGGTAAACGTGATTCGTCAGAGGCTTCAAACTGCCCAAAGCCGACAAAAGAGATATGTCGATCATCGGAGGAAAGATTTAGAGTTTGAGATAGGAGACAAAGTATTTCTTCGGGTTACTCCATTGAAAGGAAAGATTAAAGCAAGAAACGGAAAAAAGTTGCAACCGAGGTATATAGGACCTTTCAGTATACTCCAGTGAATAGGAAAGGTGACTTACTGACTGGAATTACCAGCTAGTTTGTCTCGGATCCATGATGTTTTTCATGTTTTTTTGCTTAAGAAATATCACCCGGATCCGACACACATTTTGCCGCCAAAGGATATTGAACTGGACGAGTCATTAACTTATGAGGAACGACCTATTCGAGTACTGGATAAAAAGGTGAAAGACTTGAGAAACAAGCAGATTCCACTAGTAAAGGTTCTATGGAAACACCATGAGGTGGAGAAAGCAACCTGGGAGCTGGAGAAAGACATGCAAGAGAAGTACCCCGAGTTGTTTACGACTAAAGGTATGAATTTCGAGGTCGAAATTCTCTTAAGGGGGAGAAAGTGTGAGGACTTGTAAAATCTCCTATATTTTTTTTAAAAATTCTCTTTTATTTGAACTTTTTTACTTTAGACTAGCCTTAATACTCAATCACCCCACAATAAGTGCAAATGAACATAGAATTAAGGGTTTCCCTTTCATTTTCAAGTTAGCGCGAATTAAGGTTTTACGCCTATCCGTGGTGTGACTATCCGGTACGGAGTGGGGATCAAATTTGGTGATTAAGAGTGAGGTTTAGATGATATTAAGTGTATGATTAAAAGTGACAATAATAAGTTAGTGAATTATAAGTTAAAACCCTAGTATACGCGATTTAAAGAAAATCGGCTCGAACCGATGGGTATCGTTCACTACCGGTTGAACACACCACTTGACCACTACTTTTCTACCATAAAACCTCATTGATATTAGTGCAAAATATCAGCCCCATACTCAGCTTAGGTTGGCCGAAAATGTTGACCAAAAAAACAAGGGAAAAGAAAAAAATTTGAGAGTTAATCTCCAAGCGACAAGTGGCAGTCATCCAAAGGTTGTTGACCAACCAATTTCTTCCATATTTATCACCAAAAAGCACTCAAATTGCTCTTCATTCCACCATACCAGTCGTGAGAGAGAGAGAGAAAAACAAGAGAAAGAGAACTTCAATTCCATCTTGCGTTGAGCTTGATTGAGTGAGAAAACAAGAAAACTAAACCGATTAACTCATAAATTGAGAGCTTAGGAAGTTTGGGGAGCTAAATTTCACAAGGAGAGGTGAAGGATATCTCTTGCAAGCCCTTTTATTGAGGTATTATGGCTGACCATCCTCTCCCTTTTCCTTAGTCTTGTTTGAGTTATGTAGTAACTTGTATTCTTGCTTTGTGATGCCTAATCTAAGTGATTTTGATGATTGTAGTGGTGAATTTTGAGTTAGGGTTTTGAATGGTTCACTTATAATTCTTGTTGTTTGGATGGCATATGCTGTATATAATCTTGTATAGGAGGTTGTGGTAGTGGTTTAAGCTAGAACTGTGAAGTTTACCCTTTGCATTCACCAAATTCTAGATTGTAGTATTCATGTGACCCTGTTCTGACTGGTTCTATTTGACAATGATGAGGGTTGAATTAGGCTTAGCAGAAAACATGAAAGTTGTAGGGAATAATGTTTTATAGTTTCCTGTAAAATTTCAGCTCAATCTGAGCACTGTATCACATGAAAAGACAAAATTACCCCTGATTGCCATAGGTAGAGCTCTGTGGACAGTTTTGACATTTCACCAATCTGACCGCATTTTTTTCACCCTGATTCACACT